GAATGACAAAGTGGGGACAGAGCAGAGACAGAATGGGGACAGAGCAGAGACAGAATGGGGACAAAGTGGGGACAGAGCAGAGACAGAATGGGGACTGAGTGGGGACAAAGTGGGGACAGAGTGGGGGCCCTGAGGCATGGGATCCTTTCAGAAACCCGCGTGCTCAGACTTGAGGTACAGCAGCGAATGGATGTTTAATTCTGTACCACGTAATACATGTGTCTTATCAGATCAAGAGCTGATAAACGTGTTTTTTTAGGGGGTGGGGTCCTGCCCCCAGAGCAGGAGGGTGACACGGCCATGTCTTTGGATTAATGTGTCAGCTTAAGCGGCGCGATAATAAATACAGCAGTGACAGGAATGAGACGAGGGGGGGTCCTTCCCCCACCCCCCAGACGAAGAGCACGCACGAGGGCAGCAAGACCAACCTGTTGCCTCTATTTGTTCTGATTGCGAATTCGCAGGCACCTCCTCTTTGGCGGGGGCTGCAGGTCCGGGGCTCCGCTGCCGGGGAGGGCCGTGGCGATGCCGCAGGGGCTCAGCGCACTCTTGTCTGCGGGCTTTGGCACAGGCTGGATGACGCAGCCAGCCTTGGGCAGCACGGGCAATGCGTAGGCGTGGTCTTCGTCTGCGGCCCGGGGGTCCTGTTTGTCCCCAGGGGCCCCGGCCTCCTCCGAGGGGGCCCGCTTACCTGTATCCCGCTCCGCGCTGGTGCAGGTGTTCTCCTTCGCCGACTCCAGCTCGCTGAGTGCCGGCTCCTCTGGGGGCGGGGCTCTCCTGGCAGGCCCGCCGTCCGGCGACCGGGTGCCATTGACGATGACGTTGCAGGGCGCCGCTGGGCTGGGCGGGGTGTGGGGTAACGTCTGGAGCGTGGGCGGGGCATTGCTGTTGGCGGCAGCACAGTAGGCGGGGTCACCGCAAGGCAGGGCAATGGGGTCTGAGGGGCTGCAGACATCCCTGTCGCCTGTGGCCTCCGCATAGCCACACCCCCCTGCGGTCTCACCAAGGAAGGGGTGGGACTCTGGCTCCGCCTTCACCTGTGTGCTGGGCGCTGCCCGCTGGATTACTTGCTGCAGCCGTGAGCGCCGACCCAGCGTCAAGTCTATCACACCTTCAAGGGTAGAGGGTGTGGCCAGGGGTGTAGTTGGGGGCGTGGTCAGAGGCTTGGTCACGGGTGGCGAACACTGAGAGCCCCCCGGGCTCTCCACTTTCACGGTCAGGTCGACCACGGCAGTCCGGTCCTGCTCGGGGCCAGAGGAGCAGCCAGAGAGGCCAGGCGACAGTTCACTGGCATTGGAGGGGCCCTGCCGGGGCTCTCCGGCGTCCCCGGGGGGCGGACCAGGGGAAAACAGCCCAGGGCCCTTGGATTCGCCCCCCTCCCCGGAGGCGCTGGGAATGGCGTCACCGTCACCGGGGCGGTCGCCTGAGGCCTTGGGGCTGAAAGGGATGGGCACGGGAATGGGAATGGGTACCGGCAGCGGCACTATGACGGGGTAGGGCACCAGTAGCGTGGGGGGGGGCACCAGCGGGGCTAGAGATGGCACGCCGAAGTTCATCACTGGTGGCACGGGCAGGTGACTGTTGGGCATCATGTTGACCGGGGGGAATGGCAGGCCGGGCATGTGGGCTGCTGGGTGGGGCGCCATGGGAACAGCGGCCGCAGGCGGTGGGTGGATGTGGGGTGAGAGGAGTGGCCTGTGCATGGGGCTGGGGGGGGGGCCCAGGCTTCGGGGGGGTGGGCCATTGGGTGGGCCTGGGGGTGGGGGCGGTCCGATGCCGGGTATCATAGGATTGGACAGAGGGCTGTTGGGCCCCGGTGTGTGAGGTGGGGGGGCGCGCATGAAGGGCGGCCGCATTTGCTGCATCATCTGGTGCTCCATGAAGAAGGGTAGTGGCACGGGACCCCGGTGCGTCATCACCATGGGGGGGCTGCCCGGCGGCACACCCATGGCCTGGTGTAGGGCGGGCATGGGGGGGGGCAGGCTAGTACCCTCATGGGGCCGGGGCCCTGGGGTGGGGATCTTGGCTGACGAGGAGGAGGACGAAGGGCCCGAGGCGACTCCAGGCTCAGACGGAGAGGCAGAGCTGGGAGCGGAGAGCCCAGGGGTGGAGCAAACGCCTGCCGGGGACGGGGCCTTCCGCCGCAGCTCGCCCAGCGGGGCGTTCCAGGACTCGGGTGTGAGCAGCTGCACCCCCGTGCTGCCGTCGGGCTTGCCCTCCATGGCGGGGTGTCCCGTGCCGCACAGTGCCCCCGGCAAGGCTGCCTGGGCCTCCTTGTAGAAGATGTCCATCTTGTACTGGTTCAGGCACTTGGCACTGCAAAACTGCAGGCGGCGCTCACCGGCGCCAAAGTCCAGATACTCCTTAGTGTGGCGGATGTGCTTACACCAGTCACACACCTGTGGGACAGAACCGACCCAGTGATCAGGGGGGTCGGAGACCGCACACAGTTACACACGCACACACACACGCACACACACGCACGCCCAGTGTCACCAAGGAAACAACACAGCCAGAAGTCAAAGATATGTGCAACGCCTTTGAACATGAAACATAAAGGAAAGCTAAGGTAGATGCAGACAGGCACATAGACAGGTAGTAAAACTGCCTACCCCCCCTCACCAGTTGGTAAAATCTATCCAAGGTGGACCCCCTCTGGTCCCCATCCCTCTCACTGTCTCTCATCTCTTTCCCTCTCACTGTTTCTTGTCCCCTTCCCTCTCATCCCCTTCCTCTCACTGTCTCTCATCCCTTGCTATCCCATTTCCTCTTGTCTCCTTCCCTCTCACTCTATCGTCTCCTTCCCTCTCTCTGTCAATCGTCTCCTTCCCTCTAACTGTCTCTTGTCCCCTATCCTTCGTCTCCTTTAGTCCCTCTTTCTTTGTGTTTCCCGTAAAGAGCACTGGGTGTTACCAGAACACTTGTAATGCTCTGAAAACCAATGTGCCAAACACCAGGTACTGCCAGCCCTGGCGAGCCGATAGCAGAGATGTGGGCACTGAAGTTAAACCACAGAGCAATCCAGCGCTCTGGCGGCTCCAAATGGAAGTGGCACTGCTCATGAGAGTTAATTAAGGCATTAATCAGCTGTCAGGAGCCTCAATGATGTCCATCCGTCTCCCAGACCAAAATACCCCACTGAGCGCTGATGTGCTGTGTGAAGCCATTCGATTAGCACTGAACTCAGCACACACCCACACAGGCTAATAACACCCACACAGGCTAACACCTATGTCACCCACAGTCTGACAACAAAAAAAAATGAACTAATGACACAGACATTACTCTGTCACATGCAAGAGACAATTAAATGTCACTATCACACATACCCACACAGATTCACACATGCAGTCACACACACACGCATACACATGCACACACACATGCATACAGACAAACGCTTGCACAGAGACACACACACATAGACAGAAGCACATGAACACACATGCACACACAGACAGACACAGACACATGCATGCACAAACACATATACAGACATACAGATACACACACTCACACACAAGGTCATACAGTCACACACATTCACACACACACACACACAGACACCCTGACTGTTCCTCCCTCTGCTCTCCTCCCTCCCCCCTGAATTCAGGCTGGCTTTCAGGCTGTTCACTGTCAGGCTCAGAGAGCTCGGTACCAAACTTCAACAGGACGTCCTTAAAGCAGCAGCCTCAACCCATTCCCTACCCAGGCGTCTCTAACGCATTGTGTTTGGGCCTGCCAGGGGGGGCCCCATGGCAATAGCCCCCACCGTACGCTGGCTGTGCTTATCTCATAAGGGCGGGGGGACAGCGGAGAAAAGAAGGAGGGGAAGAGAGAGGGGGCCAGACAAAAGAAGATGGTGATGTTAATGGCAATGGGCTGGGGATTGTGCTGGTCCACTGCGGCAGGTGGACCGTGAGCAGGAACAGGAACAGGAACAGGAGGACGATGGCGGCACTAATGATGCTGGGTGGCGATCAGTTATAAACACGCTTCCATTCTGCTGGAGAAGGAGACAGGTGAGGGGGGAGAGGGTGCTGGCTCTGCCCCCACTGCCACTAATGGACCCCCCACTGGCACCACTGTGCGTGAATGCGTACGGCGGGGCTTAATCACATCCGCCCATCTGCCCTACCAGTGCCACGTGCCCAGGAATGGGTCACGCTCACTCCTTTCTGATGTCACATGGACAGGGTGATGCCCCTGTCCGCAAGAGGCCACAGGAAATGACAGGGTGGCCCCCCGGGGGGGGGCTGTCAGTGTAACATGCCCTGCACAGCAGGTCTGTGTATCAGAGGGCAGAAGGAAACGGATCACTGCTGGGGGCAGGATGAGGGTGATGACTGGAGGGGTTCACAGGAGATGCTGCTCTCTCTGGTACAACCCCCCCCTCCCCCCAGAGGTGAAAATATGCGGGTCATGACCCAAGTTGGTCCCGTGTTGTGAAGGGGGGGGGGGAGGGGGAGTCTGACCTCTGTACCATGGGGAAGGGGGTGCCTGCCCTCCCTCCCTCACTAGCCCCATACCATAGGATGAAGAAGCATTCTTCGGAGACCCCCCCAGTTCCCAAGCAGATGGTGGGAAGCACAGACACACACATACAATTAAGAGGCCGCTCCTTCACAAGCCGATGGGCCGTCCCCGGGGATGCTGGGATACGCTGTGACCCAGCCCCTGCGGTGTCCCTGTGCTCCGCTGGGTCTCATCAAGCCCAGCCCGTCCTCGCCTGACACTGGTGCTCCCCCACCCCTGACAGCTCCACATCCCCAAGTCACCTGGTTCTCCTCGCTGTACCCAGGACGCCGCCTCCGTACCGAGATGCTCACACACAGCCGTGTGTTTCAATGCTCTGCTCTGGGATCTGTGCAGATGAAGCACATTCCCCCCAACCCCCCCGTGTCCTGCCGTTTTGTTCTTTAAATTGGCTTAATGGCACATTACAGTCTGTGAAATTCAGCAGAACAGGCACGTTTTTCATGGTCACGGAGACGGCGTCTCTCCATGGAGAGACACGATCGTAGGTGACCCACCTCCATCACGCAGACATGTGTATGTGCGTGTGCTGCCTGTGCCTTCTCTCTACACACACAAACCCTGCACCAACCCTCCTCCATCCCATTTACATCTGCAATTACAGCCCATTTAAGCCAAACCCATGCACCATCGCACAGCCTGACTAGCAAGTTCTCTATGCAAAATAACTAGTGTCACTAGTGTCCCAGGGATTGAGGATAACGGGTGGAGAGTGTGGGGGGGGATGGGGAGATGTCAAAGGTCAAGATCTGGAATGGTCACAGTCTTGGTCCTCAGAGCTAGTTCAGGTCCTCAGCAGGAAGGACACAGTGGACACAGGGTGACACACAGGGTGGCACGCTGGGTGACACGCAGGGTGACCCTGTGGCCTTGATGCTTGTTGGAACGGCCTGCGCCTACAGAACCGTACATAGGGCCCACAAACACACACCTGCATCATAACAGAACGCAGAATGAAATGTGACACAAACACAAATGAAAAATGTTTGCGGCCTGATAAACTCACAGGATGGAAACAAAGGCATAAACATTAAATCAAAACACAAGAAATGTGTGATTATGGCGTGAGAAGAGGCAGTGAAGCTGCACCTTTAACCATTAGCCATTACACTCGAGTGCTATCTGCGGGGTGGGGGTGTCGTCCTTACAAGAACATCGCTGTTTATCTTGAAGACAAGCCTGGGCGTTTCCTTAGCATAGCTGTGCTGTGGTAAACTCTCACCGTGGCAGTCTTCGTCTCTTGCCTAAAGGGGAGAAATAACGGCCTCTTACGGACTGACAAAATAAAGAACTGAGCAGCAAATGAAAGGCAAAAAACAAAGCAAACGAAAGAGGGATGTCACGTGGCAGGCGAAAAAAAGAACAATGACAGAGTGAGACACTGAACATCCATGATCACAGGCTGTAAGAGGGTTCACATGGCAACAGAAAGGCACGCCCAGGTGGGTGGGCTGGCGGGCACCTGTGCTGTGATTGGCTGAAGCGGCCTTTCTGTCAGGTGGATCATGCAGGTCATGCAGGAACCGTTTAGATGGTGCCAAGGAACACATGCTGCTGGGGTTTGTGTTATAAGTGGACAGTGGGTGACATCACTTCCCGCCACTGGTATTCTTCCACCAATCAGAACCTGCTCTATCACCCCCAGGCAGGGGCCTAGAGGTAGTCAAGTCTCTCCATCCCCCGGAATCAGAACCCAGATTGATCTCCCAGGGCTCTCCTCCACACAGAGGGACCCCAGGTGAAGAACCTACCTGAGACAGAACCACGCCATCAGTGATCGCAGGCAGGGAAATGCAGGTTCTGCCAGGGACAGAACCAGATGCTTTTCAATGTGTGCTAAGCTCACTTCAGTTACTAACCCTCGGACAGGTCTGGGTGGGGTCTAGCGAGCTCATCTAGTCAAGGGGGGGGCGCTGTCCCCCAAGAGGTCCAGGCCCCAGGCAAGAGGAGGGGGTGCATTATGATGGAGTTGCTTTGACACTCACACCCGTGGCAGACTGCTCCAGTCACACCGAGGACATGCCCTGATCACGCTCCAGACATGCTTAGGACACGTGCCAGACCTGGTCCGGACACGCTCCGATCACGCTCCAGACATGCTTAGGACACGCCCCAGACCTGGTCCGGACATGCCCCTATCACACTCCAGACATGCTCCTGTCTCACTCCAGTCACACTCCTGTCAAACTTCGCATACGGCAGTCCCCACTCACACACCACCGCGGTGACACACTCCTCTTACTCACACCCTCTATTCACAATTAGTTCAAATGCTATGTAACATACTGGCGAAAGATGGGCAGGAATGAGAGAAAGGGAGAGAATGGGAGGAGGAGTGAGAAACAGAGGGCAAAGGGGAGTAGAGGAGAGAGAGGAGGGGAGCAGAGGAGAGGAGAGAGAGGAGGGGAGCAGAGGAGTGAGAGGAGGGGAGGGGAGCAGAGGAATGAGAGGATGGGAGGGGAGCAGAGGAGAGGAGAGAGAGGAGGGGAGCAGAGGAGTGAGAGGAGGGGAGCAGAGGAGAGGAGAGAGAGGAAGGGGAGCATAGGAGAGGAGAGAGAGGAGGGGAGCAGAGGAGTGAGAGGATGGGAGGGGAGCAGAGGAGAGGAGAGAGAGGAGGGGAGCAGAGGAGTGAGAGGATGGGAGGGGAGCAGAGGAGAGGAGAGAGAGGAGGGGAGCAGAGGAGTGAGAAGATGGGAGGGGAGCAGAGGAGTGAGAGGATGGGAGGGGAGCAGAGGAGAGGAGGGGAGCAGAGGAGTGAGAGGAGGGGAGCAGAGGAGTGAGAGGAGGGGAGGGGAGCAGTGTGCGTCAGCCAGATGGGGGTCTATGTGAAGAAAACGCCCTGGTATCCAGGAACCATGCTTCTGCTCTGAACTGAGCCGGAGCACTTCACGGCTCAGTCACCCCCCATCTAATCGCTCTCTCTCTCCTAATCTCTCCCTCTCTCAGCCTCCCTTAATCCCCCCGTCATTATTCAGGCTCGATTTGGGGCCGCATTAGGGCCCCTCGGCCCCTGGCCTCCATCCAGCCTATTGCCGCCGAGCGCTAATGAGGCACCGGCGTGCGCCGCTGATATGAGGAAGAGCCAGAAAGCCCCCACCGGCACGGATGAGCAGGGGCGTCGAGGGGCGGGCCCGGCAAATGGCCCCAGCCGCACAGCACCGCTCCAAGCCTATTGTCTCTGCACATGCACGGTGTAGGCAAAATGGCACCCCCTGGCTGACTGCTCCTCCATCTGCATATTTCACCTGCTCAGGTGCCCCCCCCGAGCTTGCTCCATCCCTGGGGACACACAGCACACCCCTTCGCCTTTTAACCATGGAGGGACCTGGTCCAAACACATACAGCTTCCTGGTAGCACAGCGATATGCTGGCACCGGCACCGGCCACGGATTCATGGGTGCGATCCAAAGGCGCGGAGCCAAGCCATAGCAGACGAGAGACGGCAGACCGCGTCCAGGCATGGGGTGGGGGGTGCAGTGCATTCTGGGATAGCAGGGAATAGAGCGAGCTGATTAAAGCAAAGGATGAGTAAGAGGAAGCCTGCCGGGGGCGAGGAGGAAGCAGAGGGCTGCTGGGTAAGGGGACTCCACAGCCCACCCACCCGTCACCTTCACAGCTACCCACCCACAATCACCCCCTACAAAGAGGAAGGAGGCTCCTGAATGTTAACCAGCAGCTACAAGACACAACCGTTTACCTAAATGTACAACACCTGGTTACCTCATTCCAACTCCCCCCCTCCCAAAATAATAAACTACTGCAGTTTGGAACAAGAAGCTGATTGTGGGGCTCCAGCGCTCAGAGACTGAGGTTATGTGGGGATTGTTTGCCTGAGAACAGCCCCCAGGCTTTGCTCTGAAATGTGACCTACAGTGCCCCCCCCCCCAAGCTGGGCTTATTTGTTTGTTTCCATTCTGATTGCTGGTAGCAAAAAAAATCAACAGTGTCGCCTTGCAGGGCAGTACACTGCTCTGTGTGGGGACAGACAGCACCCCCACCCACTTTCTCACAGCAAACTGGCTCCCGGGGTCCCTGCCCCCCCCATGCTCAGTAAATTGTCGGGCATGAGAGCAGCAGCCTGCGATGTGTGTGTCTGGGGTGAGAGGGGGGCTGCTGGGTCCCGTCAGCCGAGCCGTGACATTTTCAGGGCATCGCCCCCATTTTGCCCGGAGGAGCCCCCAGGAAAGAGGAGGCAGACTACAGGGACCCCCGGGGGAGTGCCTCAGAAGGCAGGGCCGGCTAACGCTGAAGAGCAGTCACATGTTACACTGCACAGTGCGAAAAAGAAGATTCTCATCTGTTTCCCAGCATGCACCTCTCACAGCAAAGCAACTTCTCAGGATTAATTAGATACACTGTTCCCTGTAGTACCTCCCCTCCTGCTTGCTCCTCCAACCATTTTCCTCTGCTCTCCTCTCCTCCCTTCCCATCTCCATATGCACCTCCTCCTTCTCCCCCTGCCTCATCTCCTCTCTTATCCCCTTCTCTCCTTTGTCCCTTCTCTTCTCCCCTCCTCCCTTGTCTTCCTCTTCCTTCCTCCCTCCTTCTACTTTTCCCCTCTCCTCCCTTCTGTTCATCCCTCCTCCTCCTCTCCCTCTCCTCCCTTTTTCTCCTCTCCCTCTACTCCTTTATCCTACTGTCCCATCTCCTCCCTTCTCCTCTCCCCTCGACTCCCTTCTCCTTCTTCTCTCCTCTTCTCCCCTCCTCCCTTCTCTACCTTCCGCCTCTTCTTCCTTCTCCCCTCTCCTCCCTTCTCCTCCCCTCCCCTTTCTTGATAGCACACGTATGAAGAAGCTGAGAGTGTCAGTGTCTGGTCCCGTTTCCCAGAGTCTGCTCCCTCACATTATGGCCAGTTTGACCCTAACGTGTGCTTGGGGTTCATGATCCAGCTGCTTCTCTGCTGCAGGCAGTTTGAGGTCTCAGGGATGGTGTGTCATTTCCAGAAGCGTTACTGTGCCTCAGTTGGTGACTTAATGAAACAGCAATGAAACCATCAAGAGGAGCTAAAAAATCTCAGTGCTGAAAATTTCACCCCGAATGCAAAGCTTAGCTGATGCTAATGCCACTTTAAATACCTGACTATTACTTAGTGAAGCACCCAAACTGCTCTGTAATGTGCACATCAGTACTTACAGTGAGGCCACATTTGTGTAAAGAAAAGCCCTAAGACACCCAGTACCTGCATGGGTTCAGGAACCCACAGGTAACCGAAGCAAAACCTGTAAGTTTTGATGGAACCAGAGGAAAACTTCCTACAATTTAATTAGCAGGGACGGGTGCAGGCGGAAATGAACAGGGCATGGTTGGACCACGGTTCTAAAGGGCAAACATGTATTTTAAAAATAAGTAGGCTACAATTTTATATATATATCATGTGTGAGTGAATGTATGAGTGTGAGTGTGCCCTGCGATGGACTGGCCCCCTGTCCAGGGTTGTTCCCTGCCTCGTGCCCATTGCTTCCGGGATAGGCTCCGGACCCCCCGCGACCCAGTAGGATAAGCGGGTTGGAAAATGGATGGATATATGAAAACATAAAACACACGTCCACAAAAGTATTTTTCACCTGTTCTATCGTAACTTGGGGGTTACCTGTTGGAACACGGTCCCTCCAGCTCGGGATGTGGCCCTTAAGGCTGGGATGCAGCACCTACAGCTCTGGATGTGGCCCTTAAGGCTGGGATGCGGCCCCTACAACTTGGGATGTGGCCCTTGAGGTTGGGATGCAGCCTCTACAGCTTAGGATGTGGCCCTTGAGGTTGGGATGCAGCCTCTACAGCTTAGGATGTGGCCCTTAAGGCTGGGATGCGGCCCCTACAACTTGGGATGTGGCCCTTGAGGTTGGGATGCAGCCTCTACAGCTTAGGATGTGGCCCTTAAGGCTGGGATGCGGCCCCTACAGCTTGGGATGTGGCCCTTATGGCTCAGATGTGGCCGCTACAGTTCAGATCTGACCCTTACAGCTTAGGACGTCACCCCTACGGCTCAGAATGTGGCCTTTACGGCTCGGACAAGGCCCTTAAGGCCAGGGACATATCCGAAGCTGAGCCGGCCGGCAGCCAAGGTGAGAAGAAGGCCCTGCGCATGCAGACTGGGCGGAATGGCCCCTGGGGAGGGCAACTGGAGCGAAGCTGAATTTCATTACAGGGAATAAATGAGGAGCGAAGTTGGGGACCATATGCTGCCTGCTGGAAGGAGACCATTTGGAGACCCTGAGCAACAAACATGGCAGACGTGTGGGGGGGGGGAAGGAGGGGAAAAACAGAGGTGGAGCAGAGGAGAGGGAAAGACAGACAGGGTGGGGAAAGAAGAGGGAGAGACAGATGGGGATGGGGAAAGGAGAGGGAGTGATAGATAGGGAAGGAGATGGAGAGACAGACAAGGAGGGGGCAGGAGAAGGAAAGATAGACAGGAAGCGGGAAGAAGAGAGAGTGACAGCCTGGGATGGAGAAGGAGACGAAGTGACAGATGGGGAGGGTGAAGGAGAGGGAGAGACAGGGAGGGGGGAAGGAGGGGAGAGAGACAGGGAGGGGGGAATGAGAGGGAGAGACAGATGGGGGAATGAGAAGGAGAGGCTGATGGGGAGAGGGAAGGAGAGGGAGATACGGACAGGGGGAATAGAGAAGAGGCAGACACACTGGGAGGGGGAAGGAGTGGGACAGACAGACAGAGAGGGGGGAAAAGGGAGAAATAGACAGTTGTTCTCTGTGCTTCCAAAATGGAAGGACAAAAAAGATGCCTTTCAAAGCTGCGCGGCCAAAACAAGCGGCACTTCTGTTTCAGGAAGTCATGAACACAGTGGAAACTGTCACACTTCTCAGGAGGAGTAGACGTCCAGCATGCTGTCGCACAAATTGATATGGGAGACAGGAGGCAAGAGACAGGAGGCAGGAGACAGGAGGCAGGAGACAGGAGGCAGGAGGCAGGCCTTTTAAAGTGCTAATGCAACTTCCATCCAGGAGTGGTATGGCTGCAGCCCCTCACACACAGACTCACACCGACACAGACAGACACACAGACTTACATTGTCGTTCTCTAGCTCCCACCTAGTTCGCAGCCTAGACATGCTGCCCCAGCGTCAAAACTGACCAATCCAAAACACACACACACACACACACACGTTTGTATTCATATCTTTCTATGGGCACAACCCTAATCCCAACAATGACAACCTTAACCCCGACCCAGCCCTAACCTTAACCATAAGTAACCAAACTAAATATGAGACTTTTGGTATTTTTAGTTTTTGATTGCAGTCACAGATTTTTATAAAATTTAATTTTTCGGTCCTTGTGGGGACCGAAAAAAATGTTAAAAAATAACATGTTTTTATCACATTGTGGGGACATTTGGTGCCCAGTAAAGCCCTGGTGTTAATGGGGATGGGATGCTGGTTTCCAGTAAAGCCCTGGTGGTAATGGAGCTGGGATACTGATTCCCAGTAAAGCCTTGGTGATGATGGGGATGGGATGCTGGTTCCCAGTAAAGCCCTGGTGAAAATCCGAAGGCTCATCCCCTTTGGGGTTTCAGTGGTTGCCAGTGATGTCTGTGGTATCCATAGCAACAGGACAGACCATGGAGGGTGGCCGGCTAACTGACACTGGTCCCGCACTGGCCGTGTGTTTGTATTTTTGTATATGTTTGCCTATGTGTGTGTGTGTGTTTACAGTTATGTAGATGTTGTTTGAGGTGGGAAATACAGAGATTGTTAATCAACAAGAAACTTCGATTCAATTCTGCCGCACTCTGCCCCCTCCCCCCCCCCAGCCCACTGACGGTGACAGAAACTCTCGGGGGAGTCAGCACAGCGGAAATTCCTCACACGGGGCAGGCCTCAGACGGCCCCCCACCATCT